CACACACACACACACACACACACACACTACACATATATATATTCCTTTTTTCCCCTGTAGTTTAACCTGTAGACCAAAGCTGAAATAACCAAATGGCACTGCAAAGTTGAAAAGGCCCAGGGGCAGTGGGGTGGTAAGACAACAATGGAAAAGTTCCCACTCCTTAGAACAATCAACCAATTGAGTTCAAAAGGGCAGCATTTTCAGAAGGCAGGGAGGGTTAGGAAAGAAGAATGGAATAAGAGATGCAGGGTAGAAATGAATTAAGGGATGTAACATTGTAGGGATTGCAATTAATGCCATGAAATATATATAGATTGTTGAACAGAAAACTGATCTGCTCTGTAAAACTTTACCCAATTAAGTCACAAATATTAAAAATAAAAAAAGGAGTTGAAAAGGAAAAAGAATTTGTCAGCACACTTTGAGCCAAGCACGGAGTTCTATCTGTACCCCTAACCCAAGCTCTAACATAGGAGCTGACTATCACGTGGGGGAAACAAACATGCTAATTTAAAATCATGACAAAATTAGCATTAATTAAACCGGTTTTCTAAAAACTGCAAGGTTCTAGGAAGCTAGCCCAGAGGAAGTGTGCACATGACCACAGATAAGGGCCCGCACTGCACACTGTTTGTCACTGGGAAATGGGAAGCAAACGCCCATGTTCCTCAACAGAGAGAAACCACATAAATAACCATGTATCCGACTGGTGCCACCAAAAAGAATAAGGTTTAGTGTCTGTGCTAACATTGAATGATGGATGGCCTAATAACGTTTTTGAAGGAACAAAAACACAATCACATCTCTGCATTATGTGCAGTCGACTTGTATTTGTACCACCTGTATCAAATGCATGTGGGTATATGTCTATACTTTAGGAATACAGACTTTCAGAATCACACTTTTTTTTTGCTAAGAACAATATTTTATTTGATAGGTATATTTTACTATTATTTGAGATTTCAGGTACCCGACAAAAGTATCTTATACAGCAAAGTTTTGAAAACCAGTGTTAAAAGATTAATCAGTTACTTCCCTCAAAATCAGGGAAGACTTTGAGGACAGTGTACACTTGCCAGAAAGGTCTAAAGATTAATTTAAATTCCCCTCCATTGCAGTATTATTGTTACGTAGATATATATTATGCGTCACTAATTACATACAATATAGAATTCAATCTCTAGTTTCACTAAAGTTGTTTTTGATTCTTTTCCCCCCAGAATCCCATTTTATATACAGATACATATATACCGTTGTTGGATATATATACAGAAGCTTCAAAAAGTTCATGGAAAATGGAACTAACAGACTTAAATAGGTAGATTTTTTCCATTTTCATGAACTTTTAAAAGTCCTTTTGTGTGTACATGTGTGAATATGTATGTCCACGCATACATAAAGACATTCAAATACTTATATATGCATAAAGGTCTCAAAAATATTAAATCAAGAACTTAACTCTGAGGAATCAAGCTGAAGAAAAACAGATTTTTTTAAAAACAGGTGTTACTTTCATCAAAAAAGAATATTAAAAAAAAAATTTTTTTTAAAAAGAATATTATTCAATCATCACAAATAATTTTGAAGAAACAAATCCACTGACAAAGTCGCATTACACTGCCAAATGAAGAAAACAGCTACAAGAAGATTACATATGAGGCGATTCACATCTTTACAACAGAGAAAAGAGTGTGGAACGTGCGGACAGCGCTACCTGAGAGTGGTGGGATTAAGGGGAGGGGGCTTAGCTCTTTTTGGCTTGTTTGTGTTTTCAAGGGCCTTTGAGGAATTTTACGGTAAGAATAGGGCAGGCAAAGGATGAGATCAATGTTCCAAAATAAACGAGAAGAGTATATAAAGAAAGAGTGTGAAGAAGCACCGAGTATTTGGAAGAAGCAACTCACTCAATGTGGCTAAAATGGAAAAACAAACAAACATGAAAAGCAATGCAGGGATGGGGTTAAAACAACATTCCATACGCTGAATCTTTAGCATTTCCCTTAAGGCTGGAAAGTGTGGGGGAGTGAAACTGTTTGGTGGTGTTCTCATACCCAGTCTTTGTAACCCCCTACCCCCCACCCCCGTCAGGTAAGGACATGTGAATAAAGTATAGAGGATTGGTAATAACTCGGGGACTGGTCTGCTTTGCCATTCCATTGGTTATAAAAGTAAACCATCTCAAAAGCAAGAACCGAAGAATCGCATGACTAAGAATGATAAGCCACCATGAAACTGTGTATGAGATTCTACCTAAAGAGGTGGAGGGAGGAGGGTACTAAGGGCCACATCACTGAGACCATCAGACAGAACAAAGGAGCCGTGCTGAGAGCTGGGACCATGAGACAGAACAGTGGGCTCCCCACCTATGCAAGGAATAAAGCTGTGTGCCTCAGGCAGGAGGTTGGCTTGCAGAGTGGGGTGCTTAGAACGTTTACCAGTGCTCAAAGAGTTATGTAAGATGTGCCCAACGGGGCAGAGGTCAAGGCACCATGCAACTGAGAGCCAGAGAGATATGCCTGATGGCATGGTTAAGAAAAGAAACCGTGAACAAAGGGGCTGTTTTCTTAGGTAACCTGTTAACATCCCTAATAAGGCCCTACAGCCATGGGTATTGTCTCTGAGTTCTCTGTGGCCCCTGCAATGAATTACTGAACCCAGCAGAAGTAGAACGCCATGGGAGGGATGGTTGGTATCTGTGGTAGTTATATAATTTGGCATCAACCTGAGACCATTATGAGTGAAGAGGTGGAGTTTAGCCTGTCAATCAGGTTGCAGCATGATGACCTCATTTGGAGGTGCTATGGAGATAAATAGCTCACTGGAGGCCAGACCTCACTCCCTGCTTTTTCTTCCTGCTGACAAGCCACATGGAGCTATGCTGATGAAGCCAAGGAGCCAGATGGAGACCCATGCCAGCACTGAGATACTTCCACCACCACTGGATCCACAAGACTTTCCACCCACTGGTCTATGATCTTCCGGCATTCTGCATCATTGCATGTGTTGTGTGAGTCTGAAGAGGAATTTACAGACTAGTACCGAACATATGGGGTAATATAGAATTTATGGACTTGATCTAGACTGGACTGCAATGTTTTCTTAATATACAATTACTCTTTATATAAAGCTCTTTCTTATACACATGAGTGTCCATGAATTTGTTTCTCTAGTCAACCCAGCCTACCACAGTGTCCAAGTAGGATAAAGAAGGATGAGGAGTAGAGGCCTGTCTGGTCTCTGCCTCACAGGAATCATCCTCAGGCCGATGTGGAGTTTGATTCTCATTCTCCTGACTGATGATGGAGAAGGTCGGACAAGGCCCCATGCCACTTCCTCACAAAGCCATTAAAGGACAGAAGAAACATGACCCAAAGAGATTCAGAAACAACACTCTTGTAAGAGAACAAAATAAACCAGTTGGCTTGTGGAGACTGGGGGGAAGGAATCCCAGTGAGGAAGCACTTAGGGTTCAGGAGAGAGAGGGGTTGAGACTGACTCAGAGGTCTCTAGTTTGGGAAATTAGGTAGAGAATAAAAGCATTAACTGAAGTGACCTTTTCTGTTATTGTCTGAAGGACAGATGATGAGTTTAACTTTGTTTAATGGAAACACTTAAGTGTTATCTAAGAGCAGTATCTAGCAAGCAGATGAGCAGACAGGAATGAGTTCAGATGATCAGCAGGGGCTACAGTGTTTGGTGATATTTCACATTTACTCCAGTAAACAATCCAAATGGCTTCCTTGCTATATACATTGACTCCTCACATCATTTTAAATGAACGTGACCATTTGTACCTATTCTTTCTTCCAGAAGTTTACAGACTAAGTGTGCAAAACAAGGTAAGAGAAAACACGGTTGTAAAAAAAGCAGCAGCAGCAGCAGAAGGATCATGGCTTAAAAAGAAAGCGGTCTCAGTATTATTTTAAGAGCTGTTGTCTTTCTTTTCGTTCAGTGGACAGTGCCTGGAACCTTAAGAACTTGCCACCAGTCACAAAGGTACAAGTCATCTGGAGGAAGGATATGGAAGAACGGGAGGAGGAAATGGTTTGCGGGTTTAATCGTCTCTATGAACTATTCTTTTTGGCCATGAGACCAAAAGAAATTAATGGTGCCCAGCTACCATCACTTAATATTTTGATTAGGGATTCTATAAGTGGATCTTGATCAAAAGGAGTAAAATTTGTGAGATGGAACGTCAAATTCTCATTGGAAACCAGGCTTACCAGACACACTGAGACTGGAGGGACTTCCAAATCTATTTCATGGAGACAACTTTTGATCCTTGAGTCAAAATATCCCATGAAGCCACCTTTAAACTAAATAACAATTTAGCTCAATAAATACTGTCTGCCTTGAGCATTGTACCTACAGAAGAATGACCTATAAGAGACTGAAATGAGAGCAATAATGATAAAGCACACAAGGCAGGTAGTATGTTACTGGTGGCAAAACAATAGGAATTTCGATCGTGTGAATGGCAGCGCAATGGGAAGTATAATTCACTGTCAACGAATTACACACGTAAAGAGTGGTAATCGGTGTCCGTTTTGTGTATCCTTTCATCAGAAAATAAAGATGTCTTCGCTACAAGAACGTCAACTACATGAAGGGTTTTCAAGTAGTCAATGATAATACTATTTTATTTTTTTAAACCAAAGGAGGGCTCAATGCTTTGCTAAGAGAATGAATGCTAAATGCACATAAACCTGGTGGAGAAAACTCAAGGACCTAAAATACAATAGTCCAGAAATTTAGCTTCACACAGTAAGAACTTAAGGGGAAGTAAGACTCCCTGTTTTCTTTGCACACGCAGGGAAGCACCCAGAAGCAGACATCGGTGGCATACGGGGTGATAACAAGCACGTCAGTGGCACGGCTAACAGAACATGGCCACTTGCACAGTTCCTTGTACGTCTCAGCCAGAAGGAACTTGACAGGAAAGATTCTCAAATGATAAACTAGATGCCTTTCAAGAAGCACACACGCACCGTTATGTAAATGTTTACTGATTTGGATGAAACTTCAGAGAGCACACTGGTTTTCAGTCAGTCACACTCGTTTTGCTTCGTGACAATGAGTAACTCCTCAGGGCAGAGCTCTCTTCCACCTGTACCCTGCATTCCTTGTTCCCATTCCTCTTCCTCTGCCAGTCCTGCCCACCTCCCCAGTGTGACCCTGGGCCAATGCTGCTGCCCTTTTCAGCTCAGACGGTTGACGATTCTAACAAGCACATACGTAGTACCTCCTGGTGTTACTGGCTACCTTTCAGGCCTATCGTTTGGCTGAAAGCTGAGCCAGGGGGTTATTCCAGTTCCAGGCCTGAAGGGTGACTAAGGTCATAGACTAAGGGGTTCCACCAGTCTCTATCAGACCAGTAAGTCTTTTTTTTTTTTAATGAGTTTGCGATTTGTCCCTCATTTTCTCCCACTCTATCTAGAACCCGTCCTATCAGTCCTCTGGACTGTTTCCTTCTGTCTTTGATTTTTTTCATTCTTTGTTGAAGCAAAGGAAAAAACAAATGCTACTCAGAAACTCTAAAGTCACTACTCACCAAAGTGGAATGTAGATGGATGTTGTTACTGTGGACTCTGTTATGCCAATTGACTCTGTCCCCAAGGCCCAGAGGCTCATTTCTTCAAGGTGCTTGGTTATGGCTAAGAAGTCTCACAGTTTTGTCCCCCATATGATCTACCATATTCATGGATCAATTGACTCAAAAACAAAAAACCAAACTCGCGCCGATTCACTCCCCGCCTGGGAAGAACTGCCCTGGTGCGTTTCAGAGACTGCAAACTCTGAGGGGGTAGAAGCCACGGTCTTTCTCTCAGATATATTTACAGCGTGTAAATACATATGTAGAAATATCTTCTGTCAAACCACATGCAAATATTAATGAATGCAGTCTCATGAAACTCGTCATCTTCCCACACTGGTTCATCTTGAGAGCCTATGCATCTACTTGTAGATTGCTAGTATTGCTATTGCAGGATTGGTTATATAATAGTGTGTAATCCTGTATAATAGTACCTCTGCTGTCTTCTAGCTCTTGTGCTCTGCCAGTGACTTCCTTTGCCTGATCACGTGCTCCCCTCCCCCTTGATGTACAATGCCTTTCCCTTCACTCACGCTAGACTTTAGCTACTCTCTAGTTAGTTACCTATGCTGCTTTCCCCTCCCACCCTGGTAACCTTCAAAGAATGTGTCTATGCTGGAATAATAATAACGTTTGAAGAAAAAAAAACGTTCTTACTTTATCTGGAATTCTTGATCTGGTAAATTTGTGGCGAATCCACTCCGTGCAAATGAGAGACTCCACACCTTTTGTCACAGGCTAAAATATAAGACATCTGTTTCACAAAACCTTGCTTAAGGCAGAAATCGTTATCCACTAATCTTGATGTGGCAAAAATCTGTTCTAACTTAACCTATACTTTTAAAAGGTTTATCTCAGCCAGTAGTAGGATGAATATATCTTATCTTCCTATTACAAGCTGAACACAGACTACTACACTAGAGGCTGGCACACTTTTTCTGTATAGGAATAGACAGGAAATATTTCTAGCTCTGGGGCCATGCAGTAGAAACACTGACCTGGACTCAACTCTGCCATTGTTGGATGGAAGCTGCCCTAACCAAACCACACCCAGCTGTGGGTTTCAAACTGCTGACCTTTCAGTGAACAGCCCAACATGTGACCAACATGTCTCTTTAGAAGCCATATAATAAATGAGTGTGGCTGTATTCCAGTAAAATTGTAATTATAAAAATAGATGGCAGGCCAAATTTGGATAGTTTGCCCTGCCCTGCTCTAGACAATGTACAGTTCACCCTAAAAAATACAATGGGAAAAAAAAGCTAAGAGTTCCCAGTATCCTTTTGGGATCTAACAATATCATCATTGTGACTTTTTTTCTTTTATTCCCTCTGCATTCCTTTAATCTTGTTTCTTTCACTTACTAGCTGAGACACCAGACAAGTCACTTATCCAATAGTCAGATTCTACAGTTATTAAAGGGAAATAATCCTGCCACGCTGGACAATCCGAGGTGAAGATAATGTATGTGAACCACCTGGCATCATCACTGAAGCCAGTCCAACTCACTCCATCAAGTCGATTCTGACACACAGGGACCCTACAAGACAGAGAAGAACTGCCCCTGTGGGTCCCCAAGGCTTGTAAATCTTTATGGAAAGCAACAGCCCCATCGTTGTCCTTTGGACTGACTGGGGGTTGGAACCACTGACCTTGTGGTTAGCAGCTCACTGGATAGCCCACTAGGCAACCAGAGCCAGAGGCCCTCCTCATCTGCCACTAGCAGATCTATAGCTACACTTTGCCCTCAACAGACCAGATGAGGCTGCGCCGCGGCACTTTCTAACAGAAAGATGGGAAGGGAACATATGAAAAGATGACCACTTAAGTTCTTGGTGGTTGTTTTTCTGCTTTTTTACTTTTTCTGTGACTAAAAATATACTTCTTTCATAATAGAAGGAGAAAACTCACAACTTCCAAAAGACAGACTATGGGGGTGGGGAGGAGTGGGGGGGCAACAGTAGTCATGTTATCGGTATGCTCTTTAGGAAAAGATCTTTTGTAATCCAAAATCTGCAGCATTCAAATAACAGATAAGCATAAACAAACTCAAAATTAATATATTAAAAACAAATTGCCAATAATTTAACTTGCCTATATGAGGCGGCTTCAAAAAGCCTGTGGAAAAACGGAATGACAAAATAATAATCGATTTTTCCTACAAACTTTTTGTAGCCCCTTCATGCTGAGTTATTAGGAAAGAAAGGGAGAAAAGTTCATTAGGAATAGAACACAATATTTTTTGGAAAAAAAAAAAAAAGAACACTTGCCTGTAGACTGCCCAGGGGTCTCTGACTGACTGAGCGCAGAATCCCGGCCATTGGGTCTGGGGAGTCCTCTCTCGAGGCTGTGAGAAGTGGAGAATAAACGCAGAGGTCAAAGACCAGGGGGTGTCAAAAGCTCCTGGGAAAACGCAATTGTCTTTTCATTCCACTATCCCACCAATGTTTTGAACCCACCTCCTCAGTCTTGGAAATAGACTGAACTTTAGCAGCAAAATCTTGGGTGTTTTAATATAAGAAATAAGTTGCAATAAATGTTTGATTTAGAGTTCAGGAAAACCACAGGTAATTAGACACTAAATGCAATCCAATTTTCACCAAATTACTTAGACTGATTCCACAAAAACGGGAAATGAAGTCTTTAATCCTAACTCACTACAATTGAGACAGTATTGTTTCATAGTGACCCAATAGGTTAGGGTGAAACTGCCCCCAGTGGGTTTCCAAGACCTTAACTCTTTACAAGAGTAGAAAGCCCCTTCTATGTCCTTTGGAGCAGCTGGTGGTTTTGAACTGCTGACCTTGCAGTTGGCTGCCAAGAGGGCTCCTTGCAAAGTGTTTATTACTCTCTTCACTTATCAACTATCTTATCTGACAGTTAGTGTTTAGGATAGAGCTAACCCATATATACAATAAAAATTTGACATATGTATGCAATGATGTACTCTTGCACATGTACAATGATGTAGTGATCCATCTCATGACCTGATGTGGTTACTTTCCATTTTCGCATATGATGCTGATTTAAAATCACCACTCCGTCTCTTTGGACCCTATCCATGTCAATAAACGAAGACTGAATGTATTATGTAAACACTCTTCTTCAACAATAATGACAGATGGAAAACATGATCATAGAGCCCTACATACAATTACAGAAAGTAAGAGAGCTGGAAGGGCCCAAAGACATACCAATTCCTATAAATGGAACTGATCACCCTTTTACTTTACGTATGAAGAAAAGCAACCCCAGAAAGTTCACATTCTTGCCTCAAGATCTTCAGCTACCAATAGAGCGTATGGTCTTGAATCTAATTCTCCTAAATTTTAGACCAGGGCATTTTCACCAAGTCATAACACCCTTCAGTTAAAAAGGAAAAAAAAGTTGAATACTCTTTTGCTATTTTGTATCTCTTTAGATAATCTAGACACATATGCATTGCTTCTATAATTTAAAACAAGTTAATTTTTTAAAATTATAAGTTATAAATTATATTTATAAATGATAAAAATTATAGTTAATTTTTTAATGCTTTGTTAGGCAGAAAGCAATGATAACTTACAAAGAGAGACCTAATTAAAGAAAATTTAGGTTCATATACATATATCTTGGGTAAGTTAATTCCCCCCCCTAATTCTTCTTACTAGAAAAGATGGTAATACCTATCTTGCAAATGAATTATTCTGTAAAACAACTAAAACAGTACCTGATATATAGAAAGCCAACAAATGATGGCTTTTATCATTATACAACTCCTGAGGTATAAGAGTGGCCCATGTAAACAGTTTAGTGCTCCGTTACTAGCCAAAAGATAGGCACCTGGAACCCACCCGGGGTGTCTGAGAAAACAGCTTGTGACCTGATTCCTGAAGGTCACACACAGCCTTGAAAACTCTATGGAGCAGTTCCACTTTACATGTGGGGTGGCTCACCCTGGGTCTTTTTGACTTGCTGGAAACTAATGACACCACCACCACAGTAATCATAAAGGTATATTATATGGCAGTTTGCACCCACCCAGTGGCACTGCAAAAGAAAAGGCTTGGCTATGTGCCATAAAGATTGCAGCTACTATGGAGGCAGTTCTACGCTGCAATATAAGGGTTTGCCATGAACTCAACAGCACAAGACAACAACATAATACATATATGCTAACATTTATCAAAATAGGGGGAAGTATTGTATCTCAGTGTCTATCAAATCCATCTCTCAAGCTCTGTAAGTCTTTCCTGGGATATAGACTAAGCAAGGGAGCTTCTTAGCAACTGAACTAATCTCTCAAAATGAATTATGGATCAGGCAGTTACAGAAGTATCAGATATTAAACCCTTTGTGCTCTGAAAAAAAGAATTTGATTTTGTTCATCTTCTATTGCCAGCATCTACCACACTGTCTGAAGAACATCAGACATTTGGTGTTTGTTGAATGAATGTATGAGTAAGTTAATGGATCAGCTCCATGATCCAAATCAGAATTCAGAAGTATGTCAGAAGTTCATAACGGTCATTCAAAGTTTAGATCTCAAACATTACAATTCAGAAAAACATTTTCTAGTTCAAATCTTCTACTGTGTACTTGACTGTTTTGATATCTTATATTAAGCCTTCCTTGAGAGATGCTTATCCCTTCCGACCCTCAATCAACTAAATAATGCTACATGATTTTGCCTACCACATTACTTCCCAAGGTGTTACATATTAACCAAACCAACTTATTTCAAAGGACATTATGCTAGGTTGGCAGAAGAGCAGTGAGAAAGAGAAAGACCCCCTCCCCCAATGGATTGACACAGTGGCTACAACAGTGGGTTCAAACATAGGAATGATTGTGAAGCTGCAGCAGGACTGGGGGATGTTTTAGTCTGTTGTACACAGGGTCGCCATAAGTCAGAATCTAACAACTACAGCAGCATTACTTGGCCTTCAACAAACGCCTCCTTGCTGGTCTTCCTGCTTCCATTCCAATCCCCTTTTCTCCATAAGAGCAATCATCCCATTAAATCCTGAGTAGATCATGTCCCTCTTCTGCTCAACACCTTCTGATGAGCCAAGTTTCTCACTGTTGGGAGTGAAGGTTACTGGTAACCCAGAGGGAAGGACTAAAATCCTCTCTATATCCTGGATTAGAGGCAATATTCAGGTTCAGCTTTAGATAGCAAAAGGTACCTATACATCTAATTATCGATATGTGTGTATCCATGAGTTAGTGTATATGGGTTAGCCCTGCCAGCTCAGGGGCCTAAAACCAATGGCACCTAAGCAGCAATGACCATACCCAGTGGTTACATCTTGCTTTCGAATCCCATTCTCTAATTAAAAATAAATGTATGAACCAGGATTTGGGGAGAACTGGCCGATTATGGGGCTGGACAGAAAATAAATGATGTGAGCCTGGGACATTTTGCAGTGCCAGAGAGGAACTGCTCAAAATACAAAATGAAATGGGCACCGGAGGGCAATGGTCAAATCAAGTGTTCCCAAGGGTCAACCAACTCAGGAGCTGAGTCACAAAATAAGTAACAAAGACCTGAATTCCCACCCAAACCATAAACAAAATACCCATGAGTCCAGATTGTTATGAATAAACAAATTTATAAGGGACATTCTTCCACATAGAAGAATTCAAATAACTTATAGATACTCCCCTCTAAAAGATGTGACGCACAATAGTCCTCACCCCTTAGTGTGGGCCATGCTTAACGGCTTGCTTCCACAGAGAACAGCATGGAAACAGAAAAGAACCTTACAGAAGAGAAACAGGACAAGCTCTGGCAAGTGATCCCAGTTATCATCAATGGTGGTAAATAAAGTTGATAGCGGATGCCCTTGATGTGGTGAGAACAGGCCCTCCATCTTATGGTCTTTCTCTCCCAAACTCATCATCATTCTCTATCTAAAGCATCAAACAGACCCCACCTACAAAATACCTGATTTCCTACTTAGTCGAGGTCATCAAAAACAAATAAAAGCCTGAAAAACTATGATAATCAAAATGAGCCTAAAGGAGATATGTTTACTGGATGTACTAAACAACCAGAATCCTGATGGTGTAGTGGTTGAGCGTTGGGCTGCAACCTGCATGGTCTGGAGTTTGAAACCACCATCAGCTCCGAATGGGCAAGAGTGGGCTTTCTACTCTGGTAAACAGTTACAGTACTGTGGAAACCCACAGGGGGTTACTATGAGTCAACAATGACTCAATGACAGTGAGACGGTTTGGGTTTTTTTTTTGTTCTATGCTAAATAAAATCCTGGAAAGGGGCATTAGGTGAAAACTAGGGAAAGATGCATCCAATGAAACGCATGATCTCATTTTCATGAAAAGCGTTAACTACTACTGGGGTATTTCCCTTCCCTCTGATTTGCCCCGTAATGTCTGCATAGTTTTTACAATGATATGCATGTAATAGTTCTTTAAAACGGCAACTTCATTTTCTAACGAGATGTGTAACTAATTATGAAAGAGGGTAAAAATAAACATACTACTGAAAATGCAGAACACATAATTTCCCCTTTACTTGAAAGCAAGCAATCCGACCATCCTGCTAACAGGCAAGAACGTGCAACAGAAGCCTCGGGCAGGTAGCAACCCACACAGACAACAGTATCACAGCTTTTAGTAAAATGGCAAAGAAAGACAGACAAAAATCTTTCTTCTTCTGGGGTATAGACCGAGCAGAACTGGCTAGCGGACGCGCGCTCAACCGGAGCCGGGGACTCCATCGCCGCTCGCACAAGTACTTGTCGAAAAGATGAAAACCTCCAGCTACTCATTTTCTACTTACCCGTGTGCCCGTGGCCGGAGAAATCGAGGAGCTGACTATCCTGCCGCTTCTTTGGGAACGGCCTTCCACACGAAGGGAAAGCCGCACCGGAAGAGAACTATGGAGCGCTACATCCAAACCCTTCCGTGGTGACGCTCGTGGCCGCCCAGACCGGCCCTTTGGTTCCGGCCGAGTGCCTCCCTCGGAGGGAGCGCGCAGGCGCGTCATTTTCACGTGATCGCTTCCCGGAAGCGCCTTCGGTTTCGTTTCCGACTGTGGCTGAAGTTGAGTGCAAGTGCTGGAGCTATGGCAAGATCCGGGAGGGAGCAGGAGCCGGACAGCACCGCCGCAGTCACGGTGTTAAAGCGAGCGGTGGAACTCGACTCAGAGGACCGCTATCAGCAAGCTCTGGTGTGTTACCAGGAGGGGATCGATCTACTCTTGCAAGTTCTGAAAGGTGAGCCCAGAGCCAGGGAGGAGGACAAGAGCAAAAGGCGGAGTCAAAGTTAAAATCAGTTCCTGGGAGTACTTGAGTGGAGGCCCAATGTCCTTCTGCTACCTTAATACTAAACCTATAAAT